CAAATTGAAATTTTTATTAAATTAGAAATACCCCACTATAACAGGAGTTACACGTGAACAGGAGGAACTAAGTTCCGCGTTATAACTATAGAAAAAATTTAAGTTTTAATTATTAAAAATCGATGGAAAAATTTTTAAAAAAGGACCTTCTCTTGTTTACCACACAAATAAGGATCTTTTCTTTTTTTATTCCCCTGTTTTTTTGGGGGGGATGGAACCGTTCATCCTAACATAACTGTACTGGAATGTAAAAGAAATCAATGTAGATGGTATTATTCTTAGCTTCTGTTTCTTATAGTTCTTTCCTTCTTTATTTTTTTTTTCCTTGTGTAGTAGTGTTTTTCACGATACTCTAAGCTCTAGGTTTTTCTTTGAATGTAGTTTTATTCCAGGAAGAGAAAAATATCGTATGAAGGATCAAGTTTACTCCGTCGCCTCTTATACTACTGATAAAAACACACAAACTTTAGAAGCTTTATACAAACTCACAATTGATACAGATTTCATTTCAAGAAACCGTCTTATTAAGATTTCTAGTCATTAAAATCGTGTGAAGAAGCCGAAAATTTTCTTAGAAGTATCATTTGACTAAACGTTTTCGTGATCTTCCTTATTTAGAACTTGATTTTCTAACCAGCACTATTGATAAATACGCTATTTTTCTGTGTTTTTTTTTTTTTTTTCTTCTTCTTCTTTTCTACGAATATACAAACTTTAACTCTAGATTTATGTCAAATAACGATGAATTTTAATGAAGATTAAACAGGAGATCCGAAATTCGAATTATCTGAAGTGTAAACCGCGTGTTTCTATTTACGTTTTTAGAGTGTTATTTAATTTAAAAATTAAGGAAAATTACCGGAATTTTTGATTTTTTTATTATCTATAGAATCATAAAATTATATCGAATACAATTTTGCAATCGAGAAAATTGATCTAATCCATATAAATTACAGTCAATCTTGATAGAGACTTTAACCTTTCTAGATATTGTCAACAGAATGTTGTATGTAGCACCTGTAACCTCTACTTGTCTGACGTGATCTGGTCGTTTATATTGCATTTTACTTAAATTTTCGGCAATTTTATAGTCTTATAAACCCTACAAATAACTTAATTTGTTTCCAGTTTAACTTAATAATAACTTATACACTTAAATTTTGAAAGTGTATCAACGTAATTTCCGCAGTGTTTGATAGACTTTGCAGTGATTTTGTGAACGTGTTAATGTCTAAGTTACAGTTTTATTTAGATTTTCAGTAATTTTATTATGTTTATAATCATAAAATATCATAATTTCGATAATTCTCGAACTGATTAATAATTTATTCGCTAATATTTCGAAGTATATTGTCGTACTTTCGATAGATTTAGACAGAATTCTCTCAACCCTTAACTTCGCCCGAGTATCGTGCAGAATATTAATGCTACTAAATTACAGAATCTATACAAGTCAATTAATATCATACAATTAATAAATACAAAAGATCCGTATTATTAACGGCATCAACAGGTTACGTAAACGTTGCAATTAATTAGGCCATGAACTTGATAATTGAATTTAATAAATATTTATTTATTTTTAAAAAAAATCATGTTTAATTAGCAAAAAATTCTTCAAATAAGCGAATTATAAGCCGAATTTCATTAAAAAAAATTGATGCCTAATTACCAAAATTCAGTTAAATAAGCGTGTAGAAGCCGAATTTCGTGAAAAAATTGGCGTGTAATTACCAAAATTCGATTAAACAAAGCGAGTTACCAGCCGAATTTCTCGTAAACAACGTATAACGCGCGAAGGCATAATTAGATATTGTAAAGAATATTCTTCAATATTCTTCCAATTACTCTTCTCTGGTAGTTGCAAAGTAAAATCTGTAAAGGAAACTGCAATTTCTTTCCCTTAAAACCTCGCCATTCAGACCATTATGATAGGGTATGAGATAAGTTGGTCATTTTTCAATATAAAAGACTATTATTATGGTTCTGACTGATAACAATCATATTTATTGGTTACCTTCATTGGTATGGAACTTTAGAAAGACTTGGAACTCTTATATTGAATTCTCAGTTGTACGCTTCGTGAATTCATAATTTAAATACGTTGTTACCTTGACTACCGCACGCAATAACTCCGCTACCATTTGGTACATACAAAGCACTTCATGGCAGCTTCTATATAAGTTCTGTCTGCTTAACTGCTTGCTATTCGAGAAGGACGGATGATTATGAATTAGAGAACACCTAGACATCGACAAAATAGGGTCTAGAATTTAGAAAATTCTCCCTGTCTTTGTCGTTTCGAGGTGGTGCCTACGTGATACAAATGGACGATTTGAATTTACGAGATATTCCTCTTTATTAGTGATTAGGAGGCAGATAGGGATGCTGTGTGTAGTGTAGAAGGTGCACGTTTAGTATTAGAAGTAGAACATATGGGGGTTTTTATCTGTTAAGGTTTAGTGTGTAGAAAGCATACACTTAGTGTGAAGTTATAGGGGAGATGGGGGTTTTCTCTTTTAAGGTTTTGTGTGTTTTAGTACCAATAGCAGTTTCCTCGATAAAAATGGAAATTATTGTGAAATTTTTAACACTTCTTAAAGCAGGGTCTTGTATGAATTCTCAGATTTTATACTTTTGTTCTCCCTGAATTGTTACTGTTTAAGTGCTAAGTATCCTACACATTCTTCGACATTTAAGTCATTGAATGTATTTTTAGTCAGTAGGTGTTACGCTAAGGTGTACAAATTCCACAAACACCTTCGTAATTGCAAGTTCATTACTCCGTGTCGACGTTTTATATTGTTTTCTTACTTAATTTTTACTCCGTAAAAGTTCAATTGGTATGTGTAAAATGGTAATTTTTTACGCTTAATAAACCCTTAAAAGTTTCAAAGTTTCTTTAAAACGAAAAATAATATATATATATTTATATATTATTTAACATTCGGAAGGGAATAATTAAGTTCTATATCTTATAATAATTATCCAGGATAATTTAGAAGATAAATAAGGAACCGTTTATGTTAATAACGGCATTTCACAATAGACTATTCAGTAATTTATTGGTAAAAAAGTCGGTGTAGAAATTTTCCTTACTAATAACAAAACATCAGACCTTGTAATTCTTGTTACTTATTTTCTTAGCAACTACAAGATAATTTTTTTATTTTTTAAAAATTAGGAAAAATAAGCGAAAACAATAAATTTTTCAATAAATGTTTTACCGCTTTAACTAATCCTACTTTCTCTTCGGTTAGTTCTTTCACTTTAATTTGTACTTTTACTAATTATTTTCGCTTTTTGTTAATTAATTTGGCTTAAATAGTGCTTTTTTTATTAATTATTTTGACTCTAAGCAGTAATTTTTACTGACTATAACTGTCTAATTTTATTATAAAGAGTCTTTTCTGCTAATTAATTTAGTTTAAATAGTGCTTTTTTATTAATTTTTTCTATTCTAATCTACTAACCTGGCCTTAACTGGTGCATTTTACTGACTAATTTCAGTAGTTTTAACCGGGACTTTCTGCTATAATTATTGCTTTTTCACCCCTCAATAATTTTCGCTTTAACCAGTAATTTCTATTGACTACTTGAACTTTTACTAATTATTTTCTATTTTAATTACTACTTTAACTAGCATTAAGGAATGATAAAGTATCCTCCATCTTTCGACGGTCGTTAGGAAATTCGAACGAGAGAGAGCCTCGAAAATGTCTCATCATTCGTAAGTAATTCAGAAATCATTAATCTTTCCTCCAAGGTTTCGAAGATTATGCCTCGACAAGGCATTAAAATTTGAGGTTTTTTTGTATGCATTAAAGACTATTAAAAGAAACTTGAAAAGCACTAAAACTTACGTCAAAGTCTGATAGAGTATACGTTGGAATTCGTCATTCGATATGATATAAAGCTCTCACCCTTATGAGAGGTTATAAAAAGTATCAAAAACTATGTCAAAAACTATAGTAGTGAATGAGTGCCGCTTGACAAACTTTATAATTCGGTTAGAAAAGTATTATTGTTATTATTTTATATTTTTTAAAAGTATTTCTGATAGGAATGAAGGTAAAAGTGATGAAGAAATATCGAGATATTTTTAATATAAGGCAGGAAAAATCTAAAAATAGTTGATACGCTCGGATGTCATTCCCCCAACTTTTCTACATTCTCGATATTCCTGAAGTATTCCCGACCGAACAAATTTAGAGTGGAGCAAAATAAGTTATCGAATTGTTTCTGTCAAGGAGGGATAAGAAAATACGCCACCATTTTCGATTGTTCTAAGGATTTATAGTGTTTTACTTGGACATCACACTCCAATCGAAAGCGTGCTCTTGTCGATTTTTGGAGTGAAATTTTACCTACTTCATCACTTTACTCGAGGTGTTTTCTACCTATTTAAAGATCAGTTAACGAAGATGTCTGTCTTTATGATAGTTCTAATCAAATCTCGAGAGACAAACGATCGCCTAATCCGATTAAACCGAATGGGGAGATCCAAAACAAAAGTGTGTGTGTGTGTTTCTTCTTCTACTTCGACCTTAATTCTCGTCTTCTACCTCAAGAAACTTTTGGTATAAATCCAATAATATGCTTATTTTTTCGTGCTTTTGTGCTTAGAAGCGTAAACACGGTTAGCTGTGGTGACGTATGGAGTGTTTGTTTAAACCCCTCTTCCCCCGAAAGATGAGAATAAAGGTAAATTTAATCTTATGTTATCTTACGGGGAAGCTCTCGAGATATTCTTCACTTATTGTTTTTTGCTCCTGCTTTACATATTTTTTAAAAGTAAAAACCGCATATACATAAGAATTACTTAGAGAGGTGGCGGCGTGTAAGCCGTCGGAGAGAAAACCGCCCCCAATTTATTCCTTATCCATCACATGGCCATGGTAACAATCGAGAAGCTTAGGCAAATGCGCATTATAATTCGATATTTGAAAGCCTCTTCAAACAAATTAATGAAAACTCTTTCCTCGTCTCTTTCCTTTCAGGCTATTCGCCGTTAAAAGGTGTGCAAGGTGTCAAAGAGGAATTTTTGCCAACGAATTAGTCATGAGAGCTCGGGACCTTGTTTATCATCTGCATTGTTTTACTTGTGGATGGTGTAACGCGGCATTAACGCAAGGGGATTACTTTGGCCTCAGGGACAACTTGGTGTACTGTCGGACTCACTACGAACTTTTGGTCCACGGTGATTCATATCTAACAGCGGAAGGGCTACCGAGACAGGGACCCGTTAATGGTGGACCTCCGGCAACCGGTAGCACTCTAGGAGAGAGGACAACGGATAATCCCGCACCGCCGCCGCCTTATCCGGTGTATTCTGGTGTAGGATCAGTCAGGAAAGGAAGACCCAGGAAGAGGAAAACGTCTGATATCGGTGTTGACGGTTTGCAGCCACAAAATATTGGTGAGTAGCCACCAATTCCTGTTAAGTTCTAACGATTTTATGGCTAAGCAACGTGAATTTTTTTAAGAATTAACGATAATCCTGCGAATTGTCTTGTAGGGTTGCAAGTGATGGACCCGACACTACACATTCCACAGATGGATGGAAGTTCAAACAATCAGAATTCGCAAACAGGGATGTCTACAGGGCAACCACCTCAACGCACCAAACGTATGCGCACCTCTTTTAAACATCATCAGCTTCGTACAATGAAATCATACTTTGCCATTAACCAAAATCCGGATGCGAAAGATCTCAAGCAGCTAGCACAGAAGACAGGATTATCGAAGAGAGTTTTGCAGGTCAGTTGGCTTTCAAGATATCTTTCTTTACTTTCTAAGCTATGTAAACCCTGCGGGTGGTTAGAGATAGGTTTAGAATTTTCTCCCCCTTTGCGAAAAGGGCGCTTCCCGAAATTCCTTTTTCGGTAGTTCTCACTTTCTCCTTCCTTTTTATGAAAGTTGATGTAATTAACAGATCGTTAGGGATAACTATAAATCAATCCTAAACACAGCGGGGACATGGCGACAATGTGGACGGGTCAGGTGAACACCTCACCCGGTTTCTCATCGTTGAGGGAGTTTGCATGGGAGAGCTTTTATGACACCGTGCTTTAGAGTGGGCCAACTTTGCCCCCGGCCTGTCCTACGGTCACGAAGGGAGATGGTATCGAATTGTGTTAGATAAACAGAAGGTTGGACATAAGTGGCCTTCTCGTGCTGAGAGGCGTCGATACAAAGAGTAGGAGGTGAAGTTGATGGTATGTCTCTGCAGAAATATGATCTTGCAGCGGGCATTGCACGCTCGACTGCACTCCAACACAGTTTATACACAGTTTAAAGATGCTACCGTATTATTTAAACATTGTACCAATCGAGTAACTTTGCCCGCAGCCACGAAACAATTTCCCATCTCGCGCTATACATAGCGGGTTTATATACCACTGAAGAGTTTTCTTCTTTCAGGTGTGGTTCCAGAACGCTCGAGCCAAATGGAGAAGAAACAACCTTAAACAGCAAGAACAACAGCAGACTCAAACGTCCCAAGCACATCCCATTAGTGCAGGTAGCCCAGGTGCTACAAGTTCATTCTCGGAACCAAGTCCCGCACCTTCGTGCGGTGGCATGGGCGCGGAAGGACCTGTTTCCACTCATTCGATAGTCAACATGACAGGTATAGACTATGGCGACGGAGGAGCACTCACTCCTTTGGTATCTCACCACGCTCCAACATCAGTCGGAGGAGACGGTTTACCACTGACATCCTTTCAAGAACTGTTTTGAATCTCGTCAACAAAGTGAACCCCACACGAAAAGAAAGAACAAAATCGAAGGTTGTGATTTCCTCATTTCATTCCTCTATATTGGAAATCACCTACTTATCTTCAAACAATTAGTTCGAGCTTTGAAAAAGCTAAAAGAAAAAGAAGGGACTGAAATCTTCGACTGGTTCTCACTCAGAATACCCCCTAAAAAATAATAAACATAATAAAAAGAATGTCCAATTCGTGACTGACTATGCTGTATGTACAGTATATGTTAATGTTAATGTGTACGTATTGTTTATGTGTGTGTGTGTGCATGTGCGTGTATCTCCCACGAAGTGTCTTTAGCCACTTTTATTGTACGTGCAATAATTAAAGGCGGGAAAATCGTAAATGTTTCTTCTTTTTTTCTTCTCCTCCTCCTCCTCCTCCTTCTTCCTTTCTATCTTTATATTCTAATTATTAGACACGTTACATAAAATAATTAACACGTAATTAACGAGACGTGTATATAAACACCAGGAAATATTAATAAACTATCGTGTTAATAGCGTGATACATAATACAATTAATTAATGAAACTATCTTAAACGTAATATAAATCTAATTTACGGATTTAAATAAAATTAAAATATTTATATTCTTTTATAAATATTATTTTTATAAAGCGATTAATTCGAAGATNGGGGTTTTTAAAAAAAAAAATGGTAAAAAAAATCAAGAAAATATTCGCTAAATTCCCTCAAAAATTATTATCATCATCATCATCGTCAAATTAATCAAAAATTTGATATTAAATTTAGATAATCTTCATCGTAACTTATAACGCCTGAGGGTGTGGAGTTTATTGAACTGTTCTCTGCGTATCCCTAGATTTATTAAGTTAATGGGATGTTTAACAAGTCTTTAGAAAAATCTAATTTTTTTTTATTTTTTTGTTATAAAAAAAGAATTAATTATCTGCCCCAATTCGGGCCTCCGATTATGCCAGATATTGTAGATAACAATCTGATGTAGGGTAGTAATTCGGTTCTTGAATTCTAGTTCAAGAATCGTGTAAGGAAAAGTCTCTCTCCCCTCGTCCGAAATCTGGGTGAGATTTTATAGATTATTTAAGCTTTTATACTGTTATATTTGGTAAATTAATGGGTGCTGTAAAAATGGATTTCCTTTTTTTCTTTTGTAGAAATTTAATGCGTGTAGAATGAACTGCTATGGGGGATAAATACTGCTATAGGAATATAAGGCTGCAGAATGCATTGCTATAGGAATATAAGGCTACAGAATGCATTGCTATAGGAATATAAGGCTACAGAATGTATTGATACAGGAATATAAGGCTACAGAATGCACTTATATAGGAATAAATGCTACCGAATAGCTATAGGAATAATGCCAAAGGATACACTGCTATAAAAATAAGCTATAGTAGGAACCAACTTCTATAGGAATAAGTTGTTGTAGGAATTAACTGCTAAAAGAATAAACGGTTACAGAAATGAATTTTGTCGTTATGAGAAATTAACAATTGAATTTTTCTTTTTTTTTTTTGGCACTTACTCAACATTTTTCGCAATGTTTTTAAAACGACTTCTACGTCATTTCGTTGTTCTCCCCCCTCTCGCACGTTTAATTTCTATTGTTTATTACGACATTGTAGTTACAATGTCGCAGTATGGATCATGTCAACTCGTGCATACACAAGAAAGTTTGTGCAAGATGTCAACATTCATGCGTTATTTTCCTATTAATTCGGGCTTCGAGACACGTTAGAACATCTTAAAATTGTTGGCCTACGACACTACTTTTGCCGAATTTGCGAAGGGTTTGGCCTTGTTTTTTTAATTTAAGGCTCATACCGTATAAATCTAAACTTTCTGAGTAAAATATTTAGAGGTTCGAGCTGGATACAAGACGATGTGTCAGGTGTTAAAACAGTCCTTTTTACTGCAAAGTAGGAAAGTGGAAGCTTAATTACCGTGTGTAATGTCGGAATTTAAAGGTTTTTAAGTTATAGAAATCACAGAAAACGTATAAACGAGGGATGCATATGATAAAATTCTCATCTTTCAATAACGTTTAACGAGCGTATAGTACGTGACACGCGCTCTAAACTCTCACCCTCTCAATGCAGGAATTAAGTATACGACTTAGAATTAAGAACAGGAGAAATTCTATTCTAAATATTCGACTTTAAAGTGGTTTTTTTTAAATTTTATTTTCTATTTATTTTTTTTTATGGGAGAGTTCGACGAACCCTTAATGATCTCGATGAGTTTTTAACCAATGAGTGACTCTTCTCATATAAATTCCGTGTGTTGTAGTTACGTGCACTTAACTTCATTGAATTCTGGTGTGTAGAAGGGCGTTAAAATAAATATATTTTGATGTTATTTACTGTAATGTTTCTGCTGCTCGTTGGTCAATTCGTTGTTGATGTTGGAGTTTGTAGCTCGGGGGTAAGATACACGCAAAGTGAATAGTGTGTGTGTGCATCGTTTCGAGTGGTCTGCGGTTACCATACCTTCGGGATATTCGGCAAAGAGAAAGCAAAGGCTATTTAATATTTGATACTTTACAGTTTGCCATATGGGAATTTAATTAAAAATTTTTCGATCTGTCCAACGAATTTACTCCTACACGTCTCCATTGATCTGGCCATTTTTACGGTGTTTTCTTGTACGTTTAAGGTGTTAATTTGTAAAATATAGTGTAAAATCTGTAATGGTTAAGAGTAGAATTCTTTAAACGAGCTTCGACCTGTAACTTAGGCTCGTATGCTAGCCTAGTATAGTGGAACCTCAAGTAACAACCCCTATTCTGCGTCCAGTTTTTATAGCCTACCTTTGAATAACGAACACCGGCAGGAGACGTGTCCGTTGTTCAAAGGTGTACGGTCCAACCTGTCAACAGCTCACAGTTTTGACTGTACTCGGGATGCTGGTAATGTGAAGAACTTCAACACGAAACCATAAAAAGCACCCTGTACTCATCCCCTAAAATAAGGAATATTAAATCCTATGCCTTCCTAGTAAGGAAAATGCTACTTTACATCGAATCCTTAATGGAATGTCTCTAAATTACAGCAAAATCTACGAGATGCCAGATGATTCCAGCACAATCTACCATCTTGTTATCACTCGCAGGCCCGACAGAACGTTTATTTACCAAGATCTAGGCTACGTAATTAACATGTAATTACTTTATTAACCAGTAAATACTATTAAATTAACAATTTTACTGGTTAAAACGGTAAAAAACTCATATTCGAGGGAATAGTAAACGTTCATTAAACTTTTCTTCTCCATCAAACACGCTAATTCTGTCTACATTTGTAGTGTTCTAGTGTTTAATATAATACAAACGACGACGGGCCTTGTTATAAAAATAAGAATTTTCGACTCGTCCTGCTTAATTTTCTCAATTTGTCGTCAATGGCCGCGATTCGGGACTTAATAGGCATGCACATTCTGTCGTAACGTTTAGTTCAGCCACACACACTTAACCCCATTGTGTATCCGTTCCGCTCAAGTACTGCAAATGTCGAGTTTATATACAGCTAGTTCCAATCTCACTCGCCCAATTTAAACTTATACCAAGACCTTATTTGGTCGTTATAAAAGCTTACCTTTTCAAGGTCGGTTGATTTTTCATTGTCGTTGTTCAAAGACCATTCATTACTCGCATCCTGTTTCGAGCCATTGGATGAACGTACAGTACATTGAGAAAGTCCGTCCACAGAAAAAAATAATGTACTGTGTATATAATACTACACTATAATACTTTGAAGGGCTCACAATCGCTGAATACTTGATGACTTCTCTTAGATTGGTTACGCATGTTAGGATAATTTGATAAGCTCTCAATGGGATAATCGGGGGGTTGCATTTCTTCGCTTGTAAAGGGAACCAAACACTAATTTACCTGTCGAGATTGGTGTAGGGATGCGCTTTATACTGTTTTTTTTTTTACGTATTTCCCTCGGTTTTTATGTATAAACCGTCCGAGTTCGTGTTTCGGAGTTAAGAAGGTGGAGTGTAGCCTCTCCTCCCGGCCTAGTTTGCTCTTCCTAGTTTTTAACTTTCTTCTAATCGATTCTACAGTGCCTGGAAGGATTAATCATACCATAATTAAACCCCCATATAAATTTATTTGGGGAGAAATATAAAAAGATACACTTTTCTGCCGTACAAAAATAGGAGATTATGGAGTTTGTAAACGTTCTGTATGACCTATAATCTGCTTAAATGATCACCAGCAGGTTATTAAGTTATAAACAACACAACCTGTTTAAGTTAGCACCCGATTGTAAGGGAAGGAACCAAATTAAACAAACAAATTTCTTAAGTATAAGCGACTTACATCCTTACAAAACGAGCGGATCTTTAGAGCCTGCGTAGAATCGAAGACAGAGCGAGAAAGTAGCGTGTTAGGGGGGTTATATATATTTTTTTAATTTAGAAGGCCTTCTTCGTTTAATTGTTTCCCGAACGGAGTTATCAAGATGGAGAGCGAAGTAAGGATATCAATCAAAGCTTTGATTATAAGGTACACACTTGGTAAAACCTGTTCGATAATGTCTCTTTTAAAGTTATCCAACCCCTCTTTTTTTGTGTTATACGCTTTAATTAAGAATGGTATTCCTCCGAAGAAAGAAAAGGCACTGTTCATGGGCCAAAAACAACAGTCGAAAATTCTCCTGAGCCCGTTTGGATCCCTTATCTACGTTCGTTAATTGTAGGGATATGTGGAATGATACACTACATCCGACACAACGGATGAATGTATTCTGACTAGCTGATAAGTCTTCTAATGAGTAATGAGTCTATTCTGAAGGGGAACACGACCCCCCCCCTTTCGTCTATCGTTTCCCATACACTTGTGCTCGTATTGTAAATGTCGTAAAGGTTCCTGAACTATGCTACACTTTCGGGAGTCGTTAGGTTCTGTTGGAGAAGGGGGGTAGGTCGGAGTTGAGCCATCTTTCTAAAATTGGGCTTTCTTTGTTGCTCTTTTTTTCCTCGATTGTTAGCCACACTTGAGAGTTTTTAAGGTATAATTTGCTTAAATTTTTTTTACTGTGTTTTTAGGGTAAATTTTTATGCTTTTTTAAGGATGATTAAGTTTTATCGGGGGCAGTCCGAGTGACGTCTCTAAAATCGGATATTTTAAAACTTTTTTCTCGAATAATTAGCTAAATTTTTAACATTTTAAAAAGATTATACGTATAAAATTGTTTAATATTTCCATATTTTTTTAAAATTTAATNAAAATTTTTATTTATACTAAAAATATGCACAAAAATTTGTTTGATAATCGCGAATTTTGAGGGTGAAAATTCCAACTTAACAATTGAAACTACCAAGCAGACGTAGCTTTATTTCTTCGTTAGTTTAGTTGAAATTCTTAAACGACCTCTGACCCCCATTAAGGAAACATTAAAAAAAAAATTCAAAAATTACATTAAAATTAATTTAAAAAACCCGCACTTTGAGAGTAGAAATTTCAACTGAACAATTGCAACTACCCTGTGAAGTTAGCCTTATTTTTTCCTTAATTTAGTTCAAATTGTTAAACGACCTTTGACCTTCGTTAAAAAAAGGAAAAAATATTTAAAAATGCATAAAAATTTGTTCAAAACCCCCCCTTAAAATTAATCAAAAACACTCATTTCGAGGATGGAAATTCCGACTTAACAACTGCGCCTATCAAGCAGACGTAGCATTATTTCTTTGTTAATTTATTTGAAATTCTTAAAAGACCTTTGACCTTCGTTAAGAAAACTTTAAAAATTTTCAAAAAATACATAAAAATCTATTTCAAAATCTCTTATAATTAATCAAAAGCACGCACTTCGAGGATGGAAAAATAAAAGGAAAAAAAAATAAAACAGGTTCAGTTTTAAGAATCAAAAGTATAAACACGTGATTATCCTTAAACTTAACCTTAAACACCACCAGCACAAAAAAGAAATAATAAATAAATAAATAAATAAAGACACAAAGTGCAAAAGAGAAAATATAAAATTGTACGAAGCACATTACCGTATTGTTTTTACGTGTTTTTTCATCCGTGCTTAACACTGCATGCGTATTTAATGACCTTATTTTGACAGCTAATTACTGTGTCGGTGTACAATTTATGCCACGTGACTTGGAATTAGATATAAAAAAAAAAAAAAAAAGGAAAAAATACTTCTGACAATTAAACGTTTTCATTTCATAGCACGTGCTCACTGACCTTCATTTAGAAAGGGAACCTTTTATTTCTAGTAACTTTATCGGTGTATATATACATACAGACATACACACACACACACACACACACACACACACATATTACCTGGTAACAAATGGCGATTTTTTACCATTTTTTTGATTGATTAATTGATCGATAATTCTACCATAATGACAGGCCATAAGCATTATCAAAGGGTCATTTGTTTACCGGGTGTTTAAAGTGCGGTTGTGTCGTTTTAAATACCCTATAATCAATGGGTTGGTCAATTGGTATCATCGAGTGCACGATAGTTTAAAGGGCCTATTTATTTTTGATCGATGTGTAGTGCATTCTTGTGTTACGTGGGGTTTAAAATTCGTAGAAAATTGGGGTATTTTTTAAGTGTTTTTCCCTTGTTTATACTCGTTCCTTTCGTTTCTTCCGTATTTTAAGTGTGAATTGTGATTTAAAATACTCAAAAATGTATAAAAGAAGGATATATTTTGTGTAGGATTTCGATAGGCCCTCCCGTTATCACAGGCCCTTCAAGTGTCCTTCTATGAATAGTTCCTTGTTATGGTGATGGAAACGTTTATGGTAAGGACCTCTAACAAGTTTCGATCCCATAATACCTTGATTTCCGCTCTCACACGTGTTCTTAACCCGTAACTTAGGCCTTTATCGTGGCCCCCCGACACGTGGTTTTTTTTCCTGTTCCACTCCATAGGTGGTTATACTTAGCAATATACTTAGCAATACAGCCACCCATAGAGAGGTACTGTACAGGAAGGACACGTGTCAGGGGCCTGTAATTGCGGGAGGCCGTGTCAAGGGCCTTTAGTGGAGTCTCTATTTCGAGATCGAAAGTTGTCAGAATTTTGATTGGCCCTTGTAATTAAAATTTATTTAAATAATATCAATTATATTAAGTTAAAATATGTATAAACAATTTTAAAATAATAAAATTATGAAATTATTTCTGATAAATGTATTAATTAATAGTACAGTAATCAGACAAACAGTTAGAAAAATGCTCAAAATTATGCAAAAAAAGAGGCATAAAAGTTAAATAAAACATTAAAAAACGATTAAACAGTTTAAAAAGTATAATATTATAAGCTTAAATACTTAAAACATTCTTAAAATCAAGTAAAATTTAAATTTCTAGGAAGGGCCTTTAAGCTTGGATAGGCTAGAAGAAATCGAAATTACACAAAAAATAATTAAAATAAACCGGATAAAAACAATTAAAACTTAAAGAAACACAATAAAAAACATAAAAATGTAGATAATTTAAAAAATTCCTGTAAAATATACAAAAAAAAACACGTGTTTCATAAGAATCCTTTAACCCTACACGAGAAGACGGTTACACACACGCGAAAGGGCCTTACTTAAATGCAATTAACCGATTTAAAAAGCTGTTTAATTATAATATCGGCATTAAATAAGTTTAATTTAATAATTGGCCTTATAAATCGCCTACAGATAACCCAATCATCCACCGAAATCGGATGATAAATTAGCCAATTCGACCCCCCCCATTAAACAATTAAAAAAAAAAAAAGTAGAAAACAATCGAAAAATCTTTTTCACCTCAGTACAATATAGACTTGAAAGATAGACAGAAAGAGAGAGAGAGAGAGAGAGGGGTGCACGTAGGTGACGTCAGCAAATAGACACCGCTATGTGATTTTCCAAGCGGAAATTACGTCTCAAACAATGGTCTAAAAAGACAAAGAATGGTAGGACACATCGCGTGACTATGAAGTCGAAAGTTGTTTCTAAGAAGTTGAAATTATTTCACTTATTTTTTTTAATAGTTTTATGTTGAATGGGGAAATGTGTGTGTGTGTCTGTGTGTCTGTGTTGTCTGTATAGGTTCATTGTTATTGGTAATGGTTGTTATTATATATTTTGCTTTGGCATTTGCTTTAAAGAGCCACAACTTTGATGAGATGTTTAAGGATCTAGTCATAAAATCATTCGAGTATTATATATATATATATATAAATGTATAAAGAAACAATATATTTAAANAAACAGCAAGAACAACAGCAGACTCAAACGTCCCAAGCACATCCCATTAGTGCAGGTAGCCCAGGTGCTACAAGTTCATTCTCGGAACCAAGTCCCGCACCTTCGTGCGGTGGCATGGGCGCGGAAGGACCTGTTTCCACTCATTCGATAGTCAACATGACAGGTATAGACTATGGCGACGGAGGAGCACTCACTCCTTTGGTATCTCACCACGCTCCAACATCAGTCGGAGGAGACGGTTTACCACTGACATCCTTTCAAGAACTGTTTTGAATCTCGTCAACAAAGTGAACCCCACACGAAAAGAAAGAACAAAATCGAAGGTTGTGATTTCCTCATTTCATTCCTCTATATTGGAAATCACCTACTTATCTTCAAACAATTAGTTCGAGCTTTGAAAAAGCTAAAAGAAAAAGAAGGGACTGAAATCTTCGACTGGTTCTCACTCAGAATACCCCCTAAAAAATAATAAACATAATAAAAAGAATGTCCAATTCGTGACTGACTATGCTGTATGTACAGTATATGTTAATGTTAATGTGTACGTATTGTTTATGTGTGTGTGTGTGCATGTGCGTGTATCTCCCACGAAGTGTCTTTAGCCACTTTTATTGTACGTGCAATAATTAAAGGCGGGAAAATCGTAAATGTTTCTTCTTTTTTTCTTCTCCTCCTCCTCCTCCTCCTTCTTCCTTTCTATCTTTATATTCTAATTATTAGACACGTTACATAAAATAATTAACACGTAATTAACGAGACGTGTATATAAACACCAGGAAATATTAATAAACTATCGTGTTAATAGCGTGATACATAATACAATTAATTAATGAAACTATCTTAAACGTAATATAAATCTAATTTACGGATTTAAATAAAATTAAAATATTTATATTCTTTTATAAATATTATTTTTATAAAGCGATTAATTCGAAGATTGACGTGAAATTTTAATTACAATTTTTTTTTTTCTTTTTTAATTATCGAAGAGGAGTTATAAATATTTCTGATGCTAAACTTATCTCTTTATCGTTTACTTTTAAGTAAGAGACACGTGACGGTCGACGTCATTTCCGCGAATCTTATAGCCCCACCAAGTCGGGACGTAGAGGGGTGAAAGGTCGTGTGCTTATCCAAACCAATCTAGATGGCAGATAGCAGAACCTGATGGGTTTTCTTTTTATGCTGGTCTGCACCTTGCCCTGTGGTAATGCGAGAATACGAAAACCTCTTTTGACAATTTCCAGAACCGTAGGCCGTATCGTTTGCACACGCGACACAAGTTTAAAAATATTATAAACTCTCTTAAGTATTAATTATGGTATTGTAGAGATCTACATTTAGTTTAAAAAAATAATAATAAAATAAAATAAAGAAAGCGAGGGAGAAGAAAAAAAATACCATCGGTTATACGAGAAGGCTGCTTAATCTGTATCACGTGACTTAACTATCCTAAACCGACGTCCATATTGCATCAATTATTCAGAGAAAGGGGAAGTTAAACTGGAAATTGCTTCGTCTATTGAAATAGTTGACACTGTCGGACAGTAGTCGACTCGTCAACTATCTTCACCCTCCCACAGAAAGGCAACCCGACACTATAGGATATCCAACTTGTTCCTAGAACTGAGACTGTAGACTCTGGAGATGTTGAGATACAGTAAACTTATCCTTCTGTGTCATGGTTTCGAGGAATAGTATAGAATTCTTTTTTTTTTCTATCCCTTATATTTTTCATATTAAAGACGAGTATCTACACTTAACAAACGAATCGTAAATTATTTAACGTTACAGAACAGTTTCCCGTATAGATTTCTCTCCCGTCTTTTTCCCTTGTTTAGTCTCATAGCACGTGTAGAGAGTCATGTGACTACACAACTCTTCTTAGATTACTCCTCAAACGAGCCATGAACGACTATATATTCAATGTTTATATATGTCTTTCAAAAGAAACATTGATATCTTAATGTTTTAAGTGTGTTTTTATTGATTTAACCTTAAATTAGCAGCTAATTAGTACACAGATCGGAATACAAAAATTTATATCTTTGCCAATCTCTTGGAATTTTTTTTATCCGATATGATGAAAAATGGCGCTTATATGTTATATATATATATATATATATATATATATATATATAT